CAACCCCACTTCTGACAACCCCACACAAACTAAATTCAATTTTACCAAAGCTGACTGGCAGGAATTCAATATACTATGCAACCAGATAGACCCCCACAATATACATAGCACTGACATCGACACCTTCAACTCAAATCTAAGCAATACCCTATACAATATATCCATTAAATGCATTCCCACAACCAAAACAAAACCCATACATAATACAGTACCATGGTGGAGCCCTGAAATTATTCAATCTAGAAAACTCAGGAAAAAAGCTCTTAATAAGGCAAAACATGATAGAACTAAACTCCATTTGGCCCATAAACAAAGAAATCTTACCAAAGAACTAATAATGGCAACAAAAAGAAATCATTGGCAAACTTTTACATCAACCTTGAAGATGGGCAAACAAAATTCAAAAATTCTGTGGAATAAACTTAAAGCAATAAAAGGCATCGCTAAATCCTCCAACTCGCCCAATTTTCCCTTACTTAAAACAAATAAAGAAAAAGCCAATGCCATGGCCGCCCATCTTTCGACCGTAAGTAGCTCCGCCAACCACTCCAAACACATACAAGACACAATAAACACACAACCTGCATTTCAAAACAGATCTCCACTCTCACATCTCGCAATAAACAAACTCATTAACATCCACGAACTCCAATACGCCCTTAAAAACAAAAACACAGCCCCAGCCACTGGATTAGACAATATAAGTTACAAAATTCTAAATCATGTCCCCATCAAAATTCAAAAATTAATACTTCAACTTTATAATCAGATTTGGACTTCTGGCCACCTCCCCAAAACATGGAAAAATGCTCTAGTGGTGCCAATCCTAAAACCAGGGAAATCCCCAAATGACCCTGACTCCTACCGCCCTATCTCTCTCACATCTCACCTATGTAAAATCATGGAAACAGTAATAAACAACAGACTAAAGCATAAAATACAAAACAATAGCCTGATAAAAGAGGACCAGAGCGGCTTTACAGCAAACAGACAGACCCTAGACCATATTTTACATTTGGAACATGATGTTAGGACAGCCCAAGCACAAAAACAATACACTGTGGCCATTTTTATAGACTTTTCTAAAGCATTTGATATGGTTTGGCAACAAGGCCTAATTCAAAAATTAATAAATAAAGCAATTGATGGGAGAATTCTAAATTTCATTCACTCTTTCCTAAATAACAGAAACATAACAGTTAAATCAAGCAACACCCTATCAGACCCCCACACTCTTGAAAATGGCACCCCCCAGGGAAGCATCCTGTCCCCCACTCTATTTAATCTAATGATTGATGACATATTCCCATCTGCCCCAAAAAAAACCACCACAGCTAAATTCGCTGATGATATATCATTTTGGTCGTCATCAACATCCATAAAACAAATTGAAAACAGAATTAAACCAACTCTTGCGAAAATAGAAAACTGGGCTTCCCAATGGGGGTTCAAAATTAACACCAAAAAAACCATCGGCATTGTCTTCAAAAAAACTTTCATGACAAATTTAACACCCAAACTTACACTCCTTAAAGAAAATATTAAATTTCAAAAAGAAGCAAAATTCCTTGGAGTCACATTTGACCAACATCTCACATGGGCTCCCCACATCAATAACGTGGTCAACTCCTGCCAAAAAGATATTAATCTAATGAGAGCCATCAGCGGCTCTCACTGGGGAGCTGACAAACAAACATTATTAAACATATACAAAACCCTTATTCAATCAAAAATAGACTATGCCGCTCCGGTCCTCCATTCTTTAACAGATAAGTTGGAAAAAAAGCTCAATTCAATACAATATAAGGCCCTCAAGATAGCCCTGGGGACTAGAAATGGCACCTCCCTTAATACACTGCAAATCATCACAGGCATTACATCAATTCAACTCAAACGACATCAATCTATACTCAACTACTGGGCTGGGGCACAACAAAACCCTATTTACAACGAAATACTACACAAATACAAAAACTCAAGACCAGCAACCCTCAAAAAGTTCAAAAACAAGACAAATATAGCACCCTTCATAACACACCTGCAAAATCTCATTAAAACACACAATCTAGGACACATAACTCACTCACCCCCAGACAACACCTATATTCTTGACCTTCCCCCCCCCCGAAATAGACATATCCCTAGCCAAACTACTAAACAACCATATCAAACCCACAAATATAGAAAAGGGAACAATATCACTTAATTATATTCATGACAACTGGCCGGAACATACACACATCTATACAGATGCATCATACAACAGCAAAAACCAAAAAACAGGGCTGGGTGTCCACACAACACAGCCCATACAAAGCACAAAGAAATACCAATATACAAACTACTCACATACAAACACAGCAGAGCTACTAGCCATTCTACAAGCCTATAAACAGGCAGAAACATCAAACTATAACAAAATTATCATAATTTCTGACTCACTAAATTCAATTAAACAAATATCAGACAAATCTTCCAAATGCAGACCCGATTTAATCAAACAAATAATAAACACCCATACAAAACTCAAAACATCCAACAAATCAATAACATTAGTATGGATACCCAGCCATACAGGCATACCAGGCAACCAGATTGCAGACCAAACAGCAAAAACAGCAACTAATGACCAAACACCCACTTTACAATTTCACACAAGCAAAGCCGAAACAAAAACTCTAATAAAACACAATATAATACAACAAAACTTTAGTAATAACATTCAAAAATGTAAATCCCAATGGATCAAAACACTATTCAGTAAACCAACAACAAAATGCAAAAATTACACAAACTCCATTTTAGCAGACAAAGCCATAACCAGAATACAAAGTAACCAAACAAACTTAAACGCAACCTTACACAAACAAAACAGACATACAAGCCCAAACTGCATTCATTGCAATACAACAGAAGACATAAAACATATATTCACCACCTGTAGTAAATATAAACAACAACAACAAACACTTTACAACTCACTCCCACCCAAATACAACAATAATATAACACTGCTATTCAAACCCGACAACCCACCAGCGATTTACCTACAAATAGTCACTTTCCTCAAAGACACAAACCTAATAGAAAAAATTTAGACCCTCCCAAACAAACCCAGCAAGTAACTTTAACATAAACAGCAAAATTCTAGATTCGGATCGGGATCGAAATTCTCAGCGCGGATTGTCTTCTACGACGTCCGCGCCTCAAAATTCTATAGCGGATAGTCTACAATGACGTCCGCGCACTCAACCTATAGCGCGGATTGTCTACTCCGACGTCCGCGCCACAAACTCCTATATCCATACTCAGTAACTCTATAGCCGCTTAACCAGCCATCCACCATCAGCCGACACAAACAAGCCCACTACCAATCACGCCGACACCAAGCCTTACCCCCACCACCCACCCCCGCGCTAGGCCCCCGTTTTCTAACGTAGGTTACTCATATTTATTCATTATTTTTTCCCCTTGATTTGTTTTAATTTAATCTATCTATTAATAGTAGCTATACATCAGCTTAACTGATTACTTCTGTCACTCTATCTATCCTAGTAACTATAACCCAATAAACCTGGCTAATGTAGAACTTTACTATCTCTCTACGGCTCTCTATGGCCACTAAATCCTAAACCCCTCTTCTCATTACTTTATCCCCCTTCACTTACAGTTTTTTGGGCTAGACGTTTATATTTATTCCCACTATTCTATATTTTATAAGAACCGTCTGCCCCGAGTGCGAAATAGCCAGAGGCTGAAGCGCTCGTAAAATCTCCAAATATCTATCTCTCATTCAGTCTTGCTTGACAACGGTATAAGGATCTATACCGAAACGTCGCTTTTTACAGTATTAAAGAAGTTGTTATCCATAAAATTGTGTCTATCTTGTCATCCGCCAACTTCTAAGTAATGCCTATCAAACAAGTCATCAAAGTATTTGTCAGCAAATATCCCCGTTACCTCAGGGATACAACACACTTCATACAGAGATTAGAATCACTTAATCTCCCTAACAACCGAGACATCATGTTGGTTACTATGGATGTTACCTCGCTGTACACTAACATACCTAACGGCGAAGGTCTTGGAGCAGTTGCACAAGCCATTTGTAAGTTTAAACCAGATTGGCAACTCTCGCCCACCGGTTTAATTTCTCTCCTTAATATTGTCTTACACAATAACAACTTTGTGTTCAATAACCAACATTATCTACAAGTTGGAGGCACAGCGATGGGGACCAAAGTCGCCCCATCCTACGCCAACATTTTTTATGGGAGAATAAGAAACTCAACTCCTATCTGGGTACCATGATAAACCGGACTTCTACGTCCGATTTACTGACGACATTTTCATGATTTTGACACTAGGAGAAACCCGCCTAGCTGCATTCATTAAAGGATTATTGAAAAGGCTACGAACACAGCATTTTTCTTACAGAATACCATTCAAACATGAATTTATACCAAATCTGCATAGTCGATTTTTGAAAATAATTCGTAATTATTATAATTATGCTCCAAAACCTAGAACACTTTGGCTCCGCCCACTCGTATGCATAGTTTTTTATTTAGCGGTCAGCCTCCTGTGGCTGTGACGTCATACCAGACAGTCCGCTATGTGTTGATCGTTCGTGTTTACGCTCGGCTATCGACTGAAAAGTGACGCAAAGCGCTATATTTTGAATGAAGTTGTAGTGACAATATGCCGTATTGTCTCGCATTCGGATGCACTTCCAGTGCTACGAATACTTCAGGCCTTCATTTCCATGGATTTCCCCGCGATCTGCCAAGAAGAAAGCTGTGGCTGGCGTATTGTCGACGTGCTGATGTCAAACTCAAAGACATAAGCAAACACAGCACGTTGTGCTCCTTACATTTCTCCAAGAAGAATTATGAAAGGGATCCCGAGTTCATGGCACAGTGTGGCTACTCGAAAGCTAAACCCAAGCTTTTTAAGCATGCCGGACATTCTCCTGGCTATCGACGGCACGATCAAGAATATCACCAAAAGTGCCACGTTCACCGAGAGGGGGGCTTTTCAGAAGCGACGACGGTTAGAACAAATAGAAGTGAGTAAAGTAGATATGAACTTGATTCACAATATTGAGTCGTATGATATTACATCCTCGTTTGTATCTATCGCAGTTTTTTCATTTACCAAAGTTCGATAGATCGATTTTACTGTACTTTGTTTTTAGCTGTTTTTATGTCACAGTTTTCGCGCATCTCGTAGGTTTTGGCACTATGCCTTGTCACCCATGAGGGATTGGGCATTCCTCCTACATACACTAGTCGCAAGGTTACTTAGTTTAAGAAAAAATCAGAATTGTCATAATTGTCTACGATTTATATAATTTATATTTTGTAAAATTAATTAGATCTAGGATGTGAAATAAAATCACGAAGTCTAAATTAATTATTTTCCCGTTTTAGGATCTGAAAGAAGCATATGATAGTTTCAAAGCAACACAAGATTGTGGACAGTCCGGAGGTACAGATATTCAGCAGGACATGTCAACATTCGAGCCTGTTCAAACTTGTGTTGAGTCTGGCAGTGGAAAACACCATTTCGAGTGTCAGGTGTCATGTAAGTGATTTATTCTAACATTTCATATATTGTTTCTGCTCAGATCAAATTTGATTAAATAATCCCGTAATTGTAACTATTTTAGCTTTCATTGTGATATTTGGATAATCTTTTTAGACAAATGTGACAGAAAATACTATAGATTGATTGAGAGATACCTTCTTCCAATAATTCAGGCCATTCTGTTATGATAAATACTCTGTATCACCTCAATATGATATATGGCTTCCTAAACACTCTGAGCTGTTGCACATGTATACATATCTGGAGACAAATCAAGGTTGGCGAAAAAAACGACATGCTATACTTTTGATTGGACAAAATCCTGCTGACATAATCCTGTTAATCAAAGCCATCATGTCCAGTTGGTCCAAGGAAATTTCGCAATGGAATGGACATGTAATAGCCTGAATAGTGGAAGGGATATAATGAGATTTATGATTAAGGATATCTAATATATAGTAATAAGTAACATCGAGAGATTATGTCCATAGGTCTGACCTGGTTTATCCTAGTTGATTTATGTTATATGATTTTGATATTTGTTTTATTTACAGTGGCAGTTCCCAAGGCAAAAATACATCTTCGCACAAGACGGATTCAGACATTACCTGTCCGAAGAATCACAAGATGCATTCAGGCAAGACCACTGACTAAGACCGTGGCGGTACAGTGTGACCTGTACAAGAGGAGTGAGAATGTGTTTGAAGAGGACATGGACATAGAGGAAGATAAGGCTGAGGAAACAATCACATCTGATCCAGATTACTTCCCCAACAACAATCTGTCAGGTAATTCAAATATGTCACAACATGGATGTGTAGTGATAGACAGTTTATGTTCAGTTTGACACATAATACTGTAAAACGTGAAATTAACGCAAGCGTGAATTAAATGCGAAAAATGCGAGTGGTCTTTGCTCGCATTATTAAACATCGTATTTATATCAACAATAAGACATTTTGGATAGCAGAAATACCAACTTAGAAATACGTTGAAAACAAACAACTATGTATTCCACATCAATGTTTATTGAGAAGCACTTGTAACAAGTATATAAACAATGTCATTCAAACACTAATTACATCCTGTGAATTGTCACTGCTGGGGTCAAGACAAGAGTTCTACTCACTCATGTCATCACTGATCACACCTGCAAGTCCAGACAGTCGCCACCCAACACGGTGTCTCCTCTTAGCGACTGCATCAAAGGCCGACACGAGCCAGCGCACACGTATTGTTTTAGCTGAAGAACTCTACTCAACACTAATACTCGGTGCTATTTGGTGTGTGATTGGATTGATGTAAGGTTGGATTAAGGTGAGGACTCTTCTGTAAACCTGACAGAGGACATTTTGTTCAGATATAAATCCACTGATGCTTGAGAGGAGGGGGTGTCGTATTAATATTGAGTCCAATTTTTTTGCTAGGGGCCAGCGGTCGCATTCTTTTGGAGATGCATTAATTTCTTAACTCTTAACTTAATATTATATTAAAAGTACATTAGTATTTATATGTTTCACGTCATATGTCTTCACTTCAGATGACGAACAAGAGGATCACTGCCACACTGCCAGCCTCAATGAAAACCCCCATCCAGTTGATGAGAAGTACTTCTTTGTTGCGGAGTCATCAGTTTGCTACAGTTTGCTAAAGAACTGCAAGATATGCGACAGTATGAATGTTTCTGTTAACATTCACAAGCTTGTTGGAACCATGGTTCAAGTTGAAATAGTCTGTTTCTGTGGTCGGCAATGGTGGTCAAGTCAACGTCAAGATGGACAGATGCCATTAGGTAACCTCATGCTGGCCTCGGGTATTATGCTGTCGAGCAGCAGTGCAGCTAAGGTGATCCACCTGTTCCAGTGCTTGAAAATGCCTGTTTTCACCAGCCAGACTTACTGCAATTTGCAAAGCTGCTATGTTATGCCTTCAATTCATGACATATGGCCCAAATACCAAGACATACTACTTGAGCACTTGGCAGGAAAAGCTGTGGTTGTTGGTGGAGATGCAAGGTGTGACTCACCTGGTTACTCTGCTAAATATGGATCCTACACCCAGATGGACTTGGACCAAACACTTATACTGGATATTCGTGCAGGTAACCGCAATATATTGTTTTTTTAATTGTAGTCATTTTGTTGATTAGGTCAATGAGCCTTAAATATTAGCTTCTATCTCTTTAAATTACTCGTTTGAACTTATCCCATTTATAAATGCAGCTCAAGTAAGGAAATTAACTGAAGAAGTTTGAAGGAATTTACTTGCCACTTAAAAATAAATTTAACCTAGGAGTCTTTTTCTTGCAAGTTTGATGACAAGTTTTTCAATATTGTTGCTACACTTACCATGTCTATTTTTATGTCAGAGCAATGAGGTAAAGAAATCTTGCAACATGGAACTGGCTGGTCTGAAGAGGGCAATTTCACTGCTAGAAGGGCAAGGCTGCCACATCGCAGCACTGGTCACCGATCGCCATGTACAGGTGCAAAAGTTCATGAGGGAGGAGCAATCCCACATCACCCTTCTTTATGATGTCTGGCATGTAGCTAAAGGTATATATGTAACTTGGAAGAATGCTTCACTGAAACTGTGCACTTAGTTTGATTACAGTATACCGGGAGTGTATTTCGGTCTGTTTCTAAACATTTCAGTTTTAAAGAGAGAAAAATATATAATGTTATATGCTTTTTTCAGGAGTACAAAAGAAACTAGAATCAGCATCAAAGAAGGACTGTGATGTGATAAGACCGTGGATCAAGTCCATATCTAATCACATGTACTGGGTGACTGCTGGTGGGGGAGAGGCTCAGTACATGCTGGAGAAGTGGCAGTCAGTTACCAACCATGTCTCCAACATCCACTCACACCAAGGAAAGCTGTACACAGAATGCCCACATGGACCAATTGATCAAGAGCGAGATTGGATCAGCCCAGGTAATGAGACGTACTTTACATGCTATAAGCACTTTCTAAAACATTTGTCCTCAAAACGAACAGTGTAGTTGGTCATATGCAGAAAATGCATCTTAGCAGACAATGATGATGTGAGTGAATATTATGAAATTTCAAGTTAAACTTGAAGAATGTTTGTGCTGTTTTTATGTGCGATGGCAAGTTTTGATCAGCACAGTTCCTTCATTTGTTTTGTATTTTAGGAACCCGTGCTTACAAGGCAGTGAAGGAAGTTGTGGAAAGCAAATATCTGCTGCGTGCTATTCCTAAATTGTCCCCTCTCTATCAGACCTATTCACTTGAAGTTTTCCACAATGTGGTTAACCACTTTACACCAAAGTCAAATCACTTCTTCTACCCAACAATGAAAGCAAGGTTTGGTACATAACAAAGACTTATCCAAACATTGCCATAAAACAGAGTTATATTTGAAGATAATATATTGCACAAAAATATATTTATAAGTCAAGTCAGAATAGGTATTGGTTTATGCATCTGTGTATGCACCTTTAAAGATTCATGAACATATTTTTCAGGATGTACATAGCAGCATTTCACTACAATGAAAACAGCCAGAATACCCAAGCAGTGACCAAGGCTGGAGAGCCCAGGTGGACAATCAGTTACCCCAAAGCCAAAAAGGGGACATCCTCCGTGGCCAAGGGACCAACACATGGTAAATATAATACAAACAATCAATCATAACTGTAATTTGACCCGCATTTTCTCGCTTTTTGACAATTGGTGACTTGTGTTGAACTGGTGCTCTCCAGTTGGATAAATCACATTTCTCCGTTTCATTTCTTATTTTTCTAACTAATTAATCAACTAAGGACAATTGCATTTCATCCTCATCTTTATTCTCATCTCAGCTTTTGTTCAGACAAGAGCAATACTTGGTATGTTATTATAGTGGAAATTGATTTATAACAAGAGTTGTTGTTATGGTTGCAAAAACAATAATACTGAAATTGTGTTACAAAATGTTGTTTAATACCTTCAATGTAAAATTTACAGAGTATGTGGAATTCTTGCTCAATGCAATTGTGGAGAGGAGAAACAAGTTTCCTTCCTACAAGATGGCAGGAAGTGACTATGAAAAACTGACAGCTGATTGTCCAGGATTTCTTACACAGAGTTTTGTTAGAACAAGTAAACAGGAACTGGTGAATTCTCTGACATCTAGATATAAACTGAAATCATAAGTACCTAATGTATAAATGTCTGATGTATAAGCTAAGTCATAAGTTCCTGGTGAAAGAACTGAAATCATAAGTGCCTGATGTATGAACTGAAATCATAGGTGTCTGATGTATGAACAGAAATCATAAGTGTCTCATGTATGAACTGAAATCATAAGTGTCTCATGTATGAACTGAAATCATAAGTGTCTGATGTATGAACTGAAATCATACGTCACTGGTGTATAAACTGAGTCATAGGTGCATGGTGTATAAACTGAAATCATATGTGTCTGATGTATTAAGAAGGTCTATAGTACTTGAACCCTGCTACATCTTCAGATGGAAAGTGTTCCCTAATTGCAGTCACCACACATGATGTATAGGACGACGATCATGTTTTCTTAGCCTTCCATGGATCCATCTTGTAAATCGGCGGTATGCCACATAGCGATACGTTCTGTAAATTGAAAGATTTTGTTCGGATCTAGGAATGAGCAATGTACATGACTAGCGTTCTTAATCGGTGACTTGAAATTGTATAATATTGTTACCATACCGGAATAATTATGTTCAGATGTCATAATTCATTGCGTGTCAGAACAGGTCTTCAGCAACCCATGCTTGCCATATTAGGTGACTATGCTTGTCGTAAGAGGCGACTAACGTGATCTGGTGGTCAGGCTAGCTGACTTGGATGATGCATGTCATCGTATCCCAACTGCATGGATCGATGCCCATTATGTCAATCACTGAATTGTCTGGTGCAGACTCGATTATCTACTGACTGCCGTTATATATCTGGAATATTGCTGAGTGTGTCGTTAAACAGACAAACATAATTTATTGCTACTTCACTTCTGTTATTATTCCAACATGTCTTTGTGATAGTCTAGTCTAGACATTGTATTAATTGATAATTTTTTTAACATTATGTTAAAAAGTAGTATGCAAATAAATTATTTACACCTCCAGTTTTGTTCTAGTTGTTCCTTAATTTGATTGCAGGTCTTTCTTTGGAACTGATCACACTTTTTTCATGTTATATATTACCATGATTACTGTAAGGCATAGAAGAATATTTCTTTTTCACTTGCTGACAGTTTAGGAGAATATTTGATGGTTTACAATGATAAGGATATGTCAATTTTAATCCGATGCAGCTACATTTACTATAGTAATTATCAGCGGAAGGAACATACTTATGAATTGGTTCGTTATCGTCTAGTGGGCCAGCCAAGCTCACAAATTCAAGGAGAGCCAACCGTAGGACGTGTATGTTGGTGAAATGTACTGAGAATCCTTCATGTTGAGTGATGCAATCCAAAGGTTCAGCTCCTTCTTCCATTTTTTCTCTCGCCCCAGCATAAAAGTGGCAACATTTCGACTCAGGTCGGGATGACATAGGCATACAGTTGCCACAGTCACACCTATCAACAAAATTATGATATAGCTAATAATACATAAATAAATGCAAACCTATTTATTTCTTTATGGTACAGTTCC